ATACTCTGTCCGCAGTTCAATTACCCATTACCTTACCGTCACATCTTGACTGTCTTATATACAAGACTACCGCATATCTAGTAAACGCTAGAGCATTCAGGAAGGGACAGGATATGTCTAGAAGTCAATGACGTGTTACTAGCGTCACGTGACTTCCGCTTTCGTAACTATACAGTAAAAATCAGCTGTTCACTTCGTGAATATTATTAAGACATAACTGCACACCATATATTGGGCACCAATGAATGTGGATTTTATGGACTTAAACCATTTTCCATATCTATCTTAAATCGCTAAGAATCTTGTTTAATTTGAGATAATTGCAGTAAATGATTCGTAACGTACCAAAATCGTTATCTAAACACATCACAAGTCTCAACATGGCTAAAACTGGCAAAGTAAAATAAATTTAGGCAATAGAAAACGGGCACAGATTATTCCTTTATGTGATAAAAAAATTCAACGATATAGTGCTGAACAGTTTAGTTTCAAAAGCATTTTTAGACCGTTTTGCCGCAATTAGAAATTTAAAGTCTAATAAAAAAGGGTTTCTAATAAAAACATCAAGATGGTGTTATTTAAATAATTTTTGCACCAGATCTATTCATAAAATACCTGAAAAGTTGAAACAAAAATATAGGATGTGAAACGAGTTAGAATAGGCTATAGAACTGTTTGAAGGCAGTTACGAAAAGTGGTGTCCATGGAAACGTTGCAGATATTGCAACATCTTGTCCACTTTGTTTTACGTTTTTTGATACTAGAATATCTTTCTTAGATTTGGCTGAAGTGTAGGATGTTCATAAACGTTCTGTCATCTCCTGTGCGAATTTTTGATTCGGCGTCCCTGCCCCTATAAAATTGATAAGAACTACTAATTGCATGTAGATTTTGGCACCCCTTAGGGTGAACGCATCTTGGAATGCTGTTTAGTTACCCGATTCACTCTCGTAATACTTGGAAGATTTTAGTAAATACAGAGTATTGATAAAAATATTTTAATCATAAAAACTAGAGATTTTGTCCTATTATAAGGTTAGAAAAATTTGCTCATTCAGGACTTGTCAAATGAAGAAATGTACGATGAATAAACATTCAAAATTCCCATAGTTATCTAAAGGTACACAGAAGTTTTTACAGAAGCTGATTGATTTTGTGCCTCAGTATGTCATTACAGTGCATGTCGCCATATTCGGGCATGCTCTATCTGACAACTGCACCTGTAGTGTAGTTTCATTACAAAAAGACTCTATCATAAGGCTGCCATGTCCAAAGCACATCAACCCCCCCCCCCCCTGCTGTTTTCAAAACTCGATCTAGTGTAGGAGAGTAATGGTTTCCCAGTGCTCATTTTAACAGTCTAATCACACAGAAATCCACAGACGCTGCATCAGGTGATTTGATCAATATATCAATTTACATCCGAGTATTGAGTTTATTGTAAAATTGGAAAGAGGTCAATTTTTTAAAGTTATCAGTCGTTTATTTACAGATCTGATAACAGATTGTTGTAAGTAATGTTTCTAGACCTATGTATTGTGCACTGGCTGGATGGAGGTTTGATGTAGCATGATGGACGTGGCTTACGATCAGTAAATTTTCTCTAAAGTGTTTGAACAATTTGAGAAGCATAAAACATGAGGTAGTCTAGAGTATGTAGATTATCGATTTTTGAGTCTATTTGTAAATTACATTAATTCTTAACTACTGAGTTATTAGTTAATTTTGCATTCTTCTTTTTACTGAATAATTCCAAAAGAAACCACCCAACAACAGAGAATATTACAAGAATATGTTTATCAAAACCGACTTTTGTTGTTAATTATGAGAATTGGCTGTTTGCATATATATCACAAATTAAAAAAAATGTAAAACTTTTGTAATACATAGCTAATAAAATTAAAGTTCTTAAATTGTTTTTTTTTTAGATATGTAAAACTATTCAAAGGAAAGAGTAAGCAAATATGTCATATAACATTGAGACAAATATAAGATCACTTAATTAACTTGGAAGAAAAAATATTTGTGTATACACATTTCTAACAATAATCTAGCACAAAAATAAACAGTATATGGAAAATTCTAACCTAAAATATCAAATTTCATTTGAAATATATTTTGTTTGTTTCTTGCTAAGCACATAGCTACACACAATGATCTATTTGGGCTGTCAAAACCGCTATGCCACTGGGGGGGGGGGGCATTTTAAAACAGTCACATAGGATTTCATTTAATTTTATTTAAATACAGTTCAATTTGTTATTTTCTTTAACTTTATCCACTTTATTTTATGTTCAACTCACAACTGCAATTTTCCACCACCAGACGATCAACTATCGTTTTTATTATATTTTAATATTAGGAACGAATGTCTCTTTTTTTCAACATCATAGTGTGTCTTGTCTATTTCTTTCCACTTGCAACAAGTCAATACACTTTCCATCCAAACGCTATATCCATGAACCTCTCATTCTTGTAGAAATCAAGT